TAGGTTAACAACAATAAGAAATTGTTCTTAGTAACTCTGTCATTCTTGTTTCTTAAGCTTAACAAACTACTAATATAATAAATGTATTTAACTGTAGCAAGTCTGCAACCTTATACTCACTTACTTGGGAGTAACCCACTGGTGAAATGTAAAATTTGTTACTACCGGTTCTGTGGCTTGGTGGTGGTGGTTAATATGACTAGGTGGGCGTGGCCAATTTTTTTTTTTACTTTTAAAAACATTTTTTCTACAACCTTAAGAGGTTGCAGGAAAAAAATGCTTTTAAAAGCCTCTGATGATCAGGCAACTCAGCTGGATCACCAGAGGCTTTTAAAGGCATTTTTTTTCCTACAACCTCTTCAGCCAAAGAGGTTGCAGAAAAAAAACGCTTTTAAAAGCTTCTGATGATCAGGCAACTCAGCTGGGATCGCTAGAGGCTTTTAAAGGCATTTTTTTTCTACAACCTCTTCGGCTGAAGAGGTTGTAGAAAAAATGCTTTTAAAATCCCAGCTGAGCTGCACGATCATCAGAGGCTTTTTTTAAAAAAACTTTTAAAAGCATTTTTTTGGCCAAAGGTTGTAGAAAGAATGCTTTTAAAAGTAAAAAAAAAGCCTCTGATGATCGCATGGCTCAGCTGGGCATGGGGGGGGGGGCACAGGGATTTTTGTTACTGGTTCTCCGAACCACCTGCCATCGCTACCAGATCAGGTGATTTGGTCCGAACCAGGAGCATTTCACCCCTGGAGCAATCCCCATATAATTTAATGGGAATTACTCAGTGGTGGGTTGCCCCCGGTTCGTACCGGTTCACAAGAACGGTAGTAAAACTGGCAGAGGCTCCGCCCACTGACCCGAATGTCATCAGGAAGCGAGCGAAGAGAGCACGCACACGCCGCCCCATTGCAAACCGGTAGTAAAGGTAAGTAGAACCCACCCCTGGAATTACTTATTAGTAGACCTATTTGCTGAAAGAGGCCTGGCAGGCATTGACAGTTATAATGTCAAAAAGCAAAAATTGTACCTACCGGTATATAGAATATTTAAAAGAAACTGATTGGCACATTGTAAGTGCTGATTATATCTCAAATCTCAAAAGTTTTGCCATTGCCCAAGAGATCACATTCATGAGCTTAATGCAGTCATTGAAAAGCACTTAATGATTGAAAATAATCTTGAGTAGTGACATCCATAGCGAGAGACTAAAAAAATGAGAAGCATTGTATTATGATGTAAGCCCTGGCCAGTAGTTGTCCCTATGGACACTGATGAATCTGCTAGCATACCTCAATACATTACAGTAATCTAATGTAAGAAAAACAAGTCATCTTTGAGATATCATTCAGACTTACTAAAGATATGTTTTAATGATTCTAATCTCTTTTTGGAATTCACTATTTATTTCAAAGGCCAAACATGCTTATTTCAAAGATTGAATCTGCAGCAGAGGAAAGGCGTTATAAATGCACATCCTGCACCCACCCCACAGTCCAACCACACTGCATGGAAAAAGTGTCCACAAATGGCCTGTTTATATCTATGTTTGTGTAAAACCAATTGGAACTCTGTGTCACTACAAACTCTATTCAGCCTTCACCATCTTAGGTGCCCTTCAGCAGTATAGCAGCCTCACCAAGGGTTATTTGGAGAATATCGAAAGGCCTGATTATAAGTAGAAAAGCCACTTGCTATCCAGTGCAGATTCTATGAATAGGGTCAGTATGCACTATTTATAATAACATTTAAATACCCCGTAGGAAAATTTACGTATCTTGTATCACCAGCAATACAGATCCATAGTTAATGTGAATGTCTGGTAGATATTAACCTATTTAGTGTCAACAGCTTTGATAAGATAATTCTTGGCCACCTTGGGTGGGATTGAAAAAGACTGAAGTCACATAATTTCAAGCAATTGGCATATTTTGGGTTCACTTTTTGTTTTCCCAAGTCTTTTAATGATTGAACCAATATTATGTGATAACTTCTCATTAGTAGACTTTCTGTTGAACCCTACTTTTGTCTCTTTGAATTCTCCATCATTGTCACTAAGTATATTCGCTGATTAGGTTTTATTTAGGAATTTACTTAATCCATTTGGAAATTGTTTATTTCTCTTGAGGGGTCCTTGATGCTCTCTGAATAGCACTGATGATGTTACCTAGTTAGGGTAATGAAATGACTGCAAGAAAACAAGCTCAGAGAGAACCAAGGACCCCTCATTTCAACCATGAGCTACAAATATTCTCCTTTATTTATATTTTTTATTTTCTAGCCTGGTTGGTAACTATCTACAAGCTCATCTGCACTGAGTGGCTTCTCTTCATTCATTTGGATCAAAAAGGGTAGGTTCACCCGTGATTCTTCCCTTAGGAATTATCATCTCCAGGGCCCAGGAGTAGTCTTCTTTAGGCCCACTTCTTTAAAATGTCTTGCCATCAGTGATCAGAATAGACTCCACCCTGGAGGGCAGTTATAGTTTTTTCCCCATTTTATTTGGTTTGTTTGTTTTTTTAATTTTAAGCTGTGTATTGTAAGATGGCACATAAAATAGAGAACCACTAGATTGGAGTGGAATACAAGTCCTAATAAACATATAAATAAGATAAATATTTTCTCCAATTATTAATGTCAGTAATCTATATCAAACTTTGATCCTTTATCATATTTTTTTCAGATGCATATGATGCCAATATTCATATAGTGAATATAATTATTTCCCTGAACTTGAAGTTGTTTGAGGAACCCTGAAGAGCCCTTTCATTATTTTAGCAACTCAGTTCAGATGACCGGGCAATACTAGATTTCAGATAAAGAGACTCTAGATTTTTTAATGGGTTTGTGTAAATTTCTAATGGATTCCTGGAGCAAAACGGCATGTTCGTTTGGGGAAGCTAAGTTACAAATACAAATTTATATGACTGTGATACAGGCATGAAATATATCCTAAAATGGCATTATCAGGTATTTAGTAGTGAACAGTTAAAAGAATGAGTTTTCTTTTTCATAAAAAAAACTAGCTCCTTGATTGCTTCGGTCACATCTATGTTTGCATTTTATTTACACTTGTTTTGTGAGCAGTGCTGGAAGCAAAATATATTCCTACCTTCTTTCCAGGCTCTGAGCAAGAAATCTTGTCCTCTGGTAATCCTTAGCAGCATTATGACAGCATCCTTTAGACTTTTATAAAGATAAATTTTGTTTTCAGTACTATAAAATGAATGTGGACCATATCAAATACACTGGAAGTTAACTGCTTCTATTGGCTTTAATTTACAGTCTCAAGGATTTATAAAGGTAATCATCTGGCCAGGAGTCAAATGTAGAAGAAAACAACTGCTTCATTTTGGTTTGCTGCATATCCTAAAGTTTTAGAAAAGAAAACATTATGGCTATTTTATGTCTTGTTACGTAATGACACTTTGCGGAAAAACAGTGCTCTTTATTTTTGCTGCTTCAAAATGGGTTCTATTTCATTAAGTGCTAGGATTGCTTTTGTAAATAAAATGCATTGCTCATACATGACTAGGAGCAGCCATTACTTTCTCTGACTAACATTGAAGAACAACTATGCAGGGAGCACAATGAAAAAATAATAATTCAGAAATAAATCACAGCATGGAACAGAGAGATGAGTGGTAAAGGTAAAGGTTCCCCTTGCACATATGTGCTAGTTGTTCCCGACTCTAGGGGGTGGTGCTCATCTCTGTTTCAAAGCTGAAGAGCCAGCACTGTCCGAAGATGGCTCCGTGGTCATGTGACCGGCATGACTAAATGCCAAAGGTGCACAGAACACTGTTACCTTCCCATCAAAAGTGGTCCCTATTTTTCTTCTTGCATTTTTTACGTGCTTTCGAACTGCAGGTTGGCAGAAACTGGGACAAGTAACAGGAACTCACCCTGTTACGCGGCACTAGGGATTCGAACCGCTGAACTGCCGACCTTTCGATTGACAAGCTCAGCGGTCTTAGCCCCTGAGACACCGCGTCCCGTGAAATGAGTGGAGCAGAGCCTCTCACAAAAGTGGTTTGCGCAAGGAGGTGGATATTCAGTACTCTAAATCAATGGAACGGTTTGTGTGTGATCCATCACTGGAGGTTTTTAGGATGAGATTGGACAGCCATTTGTCCGGAATGGTCTAGGTGGAGTAGGGGATTGGACTAAAAGACCCTTCTAACTCTGGTATTCTGTAATTCTGTAAATGTGTTATTTAAGATAAAGGTTTCCCTGTCCGGTCATGTCCAACTCTAGGGCTCATCTCCGTTTCTTGGCTGAGGCAGTCAGCATTGTCCAAAGACATTTTCCATGGTCATGTGGCCAGCATAACTATATGTCAAAGACATATAATTTTGGGAATGCTGTTACCTTCCCACCAAAGTGGTACTGACTAATCTACTCACATGCTTTCAAACTACTGGGTGGGCAGTTATTTATTTACACAGTCAGGAATTAGCTGGTCTGATCTCTAACATTCTGAATTATAAACTTAAAAACAATAGCAGTTTCCCAAGTCAGATTACTACATTTGATCTTTTACAAGTTTTTTCAGTCATTTCTGTATAAGTAATACATTGAACAGCATTTATATCCCACTTTTTAGCCATTTTGAGGGAGCTGATAAAAGCAACAAAACATAAATTACAAAATACTCCTTACGTGCATCTCCTGAAAGTCTCAAATGCCAGGCCCAAGAGCTTAGCCAAAATTTGTTCACCAAGCTGTATTCTTAATGCGAACAAAAGGGGAAATGATTAATTATCCAGGAAGTAATTATATTAACTGCATTAATTTAACTTAAAATTGAATTTGGTTTGATTCGGTTTTTAATTAATGTTAATCACATTTCATTTTTGTCCTAGCCACATTTATTCATTTAGTATAAGAAGAGCAGCTGAGAGTCAAAATGGTTAAAAAGAATCTGAGTAAATCGCATGGACAAGACTGTACCTGTATATTCTGCAAGGTCCCTCTGTCTTGACAATTCATTTTCCTGTGATCTACAGAATACTTTGTGCCCCATGGAGATGAACCAAGACTTACAATACATAAAGCAGGAGGCTTTTACTTCCATGCCAACGGTAATTTACAAATACTGTGATTTTTCCCACTGAAAAGGTTTATTTTTATTTAAATGGATATGTAGTAAAAGTAAATAGTAAATAGTAAGAATTATTTTTTCTCTCCACATTAACAACAGCGGTATTCTGGTTCCACGATTTTTCCCATGGATTATTTTTGAATTGTACACAAATTTATAACTATATAATTGTTCCTAATACATAAGATCTTTGGGTACATTTTCTCCTAAATTTGAAGGAAAAATGCAATTAAATCTAATGTTTTAACAAACACATTTTATTAATGCAGACTTTAAAATATAAAGACTGTATCATGAAATAGGTTCTTTATAAAAATGTAAGTGCCATTATTTATACGTCACTTTCAGAAGAGGACTTTGTCAGACTTTATTTTTATAGGAGGATGAATGCAAGATTAGCTTGAAGCTAGCATTTGTCTTGCAAGAAACATCCAATTTCTGCTGTCAGCAGAGGTCACGGTGGTGTTTACATTCCTAATATACATTGTATATGCAGGGTTACAATTAGAATGCTCTTCATGATCCCAGTTTTCTAGGAAAATAAAATAGAACCACTGACAACCAAAATAATGTTCTTCTGCTACTTTATCTACTAAATTACTTTTTTAAAATTATAATTTGCAATGGTTGTTTGGTTTATTTGAGATCTCATAAGAATTTAACTATGGTTCTAAGTTCTGATTTTTCACTGACTTGCACAATACTTTATCAGGAACTTGGAACATTATGCTAAAGTGGATGTTTGAACAACTCATAAATTCATCTTTTTGTAATGAGAGAAGATGACAGTTATGCATGAGTTCCAGATTCTAGACAATTCATATCCTGCTGAAGTTAAACAAATATATATAACTCACATCTTTAGATTGCACAACTGAAGTATAACAGTGAATACTAAATTCACCTTTTCAGCCATTTTTTTTTGTGCATTCCTTAGACATCTGGAGTCGTCCAAAACCTTGCAAGTAAACCATTAAAAAATTAAGTGGTTCTAGTTCAAAAACAGTTTCAGTTGCAAAAGCAGCAACACTATTTTTTAAAGGGCCTAAAACATCAGTTTTAAGACATCATACCGAGTTCTCTTTCTTTGTCCAGTTGAAACAACACAAAATAAGAGTCATTATCCAAATATGACTTCAGATATCTTCAAAAAGAGCTTTAAGCATCGACTAGAGCTGACAAATTTAGGCAGCTCTTAGAAAATTGTCCTCTAGGGCTTGGGGATTCTGTGTTATAATGGCAATGGATCTGGATACTTGAAGGATAATAAATTGTTTAAATTTTTGGCTGGTTATTCCAGAGGGTGGCACACAGGCAGAAATAATATTCAGTAATAAAATTTCATAGATGCTTTTGTAACCCACATTCAGGATAAATAACATGAGTTAGTGAAAGAAAAGCAAGAAAAATAAACTTTTTATTTACACTGCCCAGACTCCCTCTATGAAGGGGGTGGACAGCTTAAAAATGAAATAGGTAGGTAGATGATTAGATGATGGATGGATGGATGGATGGATGGATCGGAGAGAGGCAGGCAGGCAGGCAGATACAATGTCCATGAAACAGAAAGGAGAAGAATAGATCTGGGAAGTAAAAAGATAAAATTATGAATGAAAGCTAAAGTGTCAATGAGGGTCACTGAGACTGGTAGGCATGTATGAAAGCTAGAATATATAGACTGATATTACCCTCCAGCGAATGGAGACAGTGGAAGATATAGGATAAGTTTGGAGAAAACCCAGGAGAAAAATTATTCTGCTGAGACATGAATGAACGGGTGTGAATAAGTAACCATTTGGAGACTTAAAAATGAATGAGAATAGTGACTCTGGGGAATATCAGCTTAGAAGAAGGTCTATTAGTTTTGAATATATACCCTCAGTATAAGCTCATACTTATACATAGCAAAAGAAAGAATATACATTTGAACACACAATTGATTTGACTACTTATTATGTAATATTAAGAGAATGTGAAGAAGATAAAAAGAGTTTCTGAATCTGGGACAAACTATTATTTGGTTATGTCAGCAATAGATCTTGGGGGAAAATAGACATGAAAGGAATAATAAAGGAGTGAGAGAAATAAGAATCAAATGGAATGACTGTAGAAAGAAAAAGAACAGTATTGCATGGGAAAAAATAATTAAAAACAGATTAATCTTCCAGAGAATGAATTGATTAATGTTTTAGAAGAATGTGTACATTAGGAAATATAATGTAGAAAGTATTCAGACCCAGAAAAAAACAACCCTTTGATATCGTGCATTGAAAACTTTTGGATCAAATTTTCCCCAAATATGAAAGTCCTTCTCTTTCCCTTGTAATTAAATGGTGACATTTATGATCTTCAGCCATGGTTAGAAATGGAATTATTTCTTCACCTATCAAGATGTCTTGCAGAACTCATCAAACATGTCATCAAGCTTTTATGTTTAATTTGATATTGGACATGTTATCTCACTGTCTTATATCTTTATCTGAAAGTCACTTCAGCAGATGTAATGGAATGTGTGAATGACCTTGGGGAATGAAAGGAAGAGATGCTGCCTAGAAAACAATCAGACGAGAGGTAGGAGTTCTTGAAGTATGTATTTTCACACTTTCAAGACTCTGTTAATGTAGTTTTACAATAAAGAATTAGTTCATTTAGTCATGTTTTCTGTGTGATTTTTCTGTGTGATTACCTGGGAGGACTGACGCCAATAAGAACAGCCATGAAAATCCATACTCATTACATTTTTTTCATGCTTGCTGAACATATACAGTAGAAAGAACATATACAGTAGAAAATATTTGCTATCAATTCTTTCTTCTGAATACATAGACATTGTTTCATTTTTTGGAAGTATGAAATGATAGATGGACATTTATATGTATGTATGTATGATATGAGCAAGTACTATTTTTGTCTAGTTTTTGTTTAACATCTACACCTTTATTATTATATGGAAGTTATTAATGTATGAATTTGTTAATGTAGTGGATTATTATGTGTGTTTTCTGCTAAAGAACTGGCACTTTATTGATGCAGTGATAACACTTATGAATATTATTCCATGTAGTCAAATTTTGGTGTTGTGTTTATAGATGACTATTTTATTTTATATGTATTATAATTTATTATTATTTGAATTTTTTGTGTATTTTCTCCTTATTTATTAAAAGCAATGAAATTTAAAATCATGAGTAAGATGAAATGTTTAGTGAATAATTCAAGATTGAACATGATAAGAATTTCTGATATTTCCATGTTTACTTACATTTATCGATAAGTACGTTGGAGATATTTGGGTCATATTAGAGGTTGACAGTTGGGAAGATAAATGTATGCACTTTTATTCCCTTCTTACTCTCAGAATATATTACTGATTCTTTTATTATTATCCATTACCCTGAAAACTATTAATTCTGCTTATAAAATTGCATCTACATTGAATGGGTCAAGAAGTATGGGAAAACAAAGAAGTTTTGGTCAGATGGAGTTGATGAAAGGAATAAGGTAAGATGTTTAAAAAGTGCCTTGAGCCCTTTGTTGTGATATGATCTGTGATGAGTTTCAACTGCCGATTCCTCAAGAAGTGGACAAGTTTCTCTGTGCTGTCAATTTGGTCACCTCTTTATTGGACTCAGGCCCCATCTTCATTGTAAAAGAGGCCAAGGAGGTGACCTATGGTTGGGTTGGTGCTATGGTGTCAGCTGTTGAAGGAGGGAGGCCATCTTTGGACTCAATGATTGTAGATAACTATTGTCCTGTTTCCATCCTTCCAAGGCACCCATCCTTTGGGAGATCTACTAGCATCTTGTTTATGTTCAAAATGTTCAAAATGAGCACAATAAAATACATTTTTTTTCTAAAAGTATACATGAAATTGAACATTTAAATGGAATCGATCATGCAAGTTGCTAAATAAATATATTTTATTTATATTTTATGCAAATTAATAATGACAATTTTCACAAATCTTTGAGAGATATGTGATAATAGACTCAAGATGTCTGTACAACAAAAATCAGTCTACAGCATCAAGGAAGTAAGTTCACACACGTGCACACTCATGCATGCATGCACATGCACGCACACACACACACACACACATACAGACACACAAAAGTATGTACATGCATACATATACTTTGAACCAAAGGAAAAGCCAAACTTCAAAATCTTTTTACTTGCCGGGTTTCTTCTCTTACAATCTAGTTGTTTAAAGTGTTTCATTTATTACTTTTGAATATATTGGGAAGCATTAGATTTCTCAATTTGGTCCACAATAGACAAGCCATTCTGCATCGGATCATTGTTTTAGACCTGTTTCCTTACCTAAACAGAATGAGCATGGATAGGCAAAAAAGCAGTGCAATGGGAGTGAATTCTGATTTCTTTTTCCTTGTGAGAACCTGACAAGAGCATCAAAAATAAATCTCCCTTCCCTTCCCTTCCATCCCATTCCTGCCCTGCCCTTCAGACTCACGTGACCTGGATTTTGGACAAATTCTGTAGGTTAGCCCATTTGAGGTACTCTGATTCAAAAATTGTTGGCCTATAATGCACTGTTTTTCCAGTTCACGGTCATGACAATGAGAGTTTAATAGTATATAGCTTTCAAATTTTTCCATTTTTAAATGTTGCCTTGAACTTTAAAGTTATTTCTTAGTGATCTTTTGTTACACTAAAACATTTTACCACATCCAAGAATTATGTTCTTTTCTTTATAACCAGTTTCCTAGGAAACTTCTTTACTATCTGTGAGTTGACTCAAGATGATAGTGTGCAATTCTTTCTTGTCCACTTTCATTTTCCCTCTTGACAAGTGCACACATTATAGATAATAAGATTTGTCTGCTTTAAATTACTTGGCCTTCCTGTACCATGTTCAATATTTTTCCTGCTATGCAGATTGAATAGATTTTTAATTACAATTTTAAATATCCTCATCCACCCACATTTATTGTGAATGAACTATGTTGTGAACTGCTGAACTTAAATAGATGGAACCTTCGAATTAAAGTGATATCATTTTGTAATTGAGTGCTTTGCCTTGCCTCTTCTTTCTCTTCCCAATTTATGTCAGGATTTCTTAGTCACTCTCTACAAATTTTGCAAAACAGAACAATTAATATGCACGTACTTCACATCTAATATTTCATCCATGTATTGCAACAATAATAATTAGCATGTGTAAAAAACATACGGTGTGAGAACTATAGACAAAACTAGCTTTGAATTTATCTCAATATTCTTAAAATGGCCTTTTCAGCTGTATAATGTTTGTAATACAGATTATAGAGATCTATCTATTTTTCAAACTTTTCAAACAAAACAAATTTTATTATTCAAAATAATAAAATAAGAAATAGGCTAATGAATATATTGTGTATTGTATGTGTGTGTGTATATAGTATGTATATATATGTATATATACATACATACACATGTATATATGTGTTGTGTCTCTCTCTCTTTATATAATACTGTGTTTCCCCGAAAATAAGACCTCTCCAGATAATAAGCCCAATTGGGCTTTTCAGCGCATAATAAAATAACCCTCCCTCAAAATAAGCCCCCCACCAACTATTTACACCCATGCCCAGTGGGTCCCACCATTTCCTCTGGTTGCTTGCCACGCAAACAACACGATGTGAGGAGGTGAGATGGGGGGGGCAGGGGGGGACAAGTTTGATTGAACTCGCAAGAAGTTTTCTTTTAGAGCATGTTTCCCTGGACACAATGGCGAGGAAAGCGACGGAGCTTAAAAGATAAAATCTGTGTCCCGCTTCTAGCCCACTCCACTTGCCACCCCCAAATTTCATCCCTAAAGGGGGCGGGTGGCTAAGCAAGGGGCAGGAGCCCTGCCATGTCCAGCAACGGGTGGAGGGGAGAGAAGAGACAGCGAGGGGAGACACGTCTTGCTCCACGCATCTTGCTTCTCCCCCGCCCCACCTGCCACCCCTCTCGATAAAGAGACGGCGGGGAAGGGAAGCACCTGTTGCCATTGGGGGTGGGTGGGACATATTGGGCCGCTCGGCTGGTGCAAAGAACAGGGAGAGGTGATGGCAGCGATGGAACATCCAATCCCACACTCGCTGCCTCCTTCACTCCCAAAAGAATAAGATCCCCCCAAAAATAAGGCCAAGCACTTATTTGGGAGGGTGTGTCAAAAGAAAATAAGACCCTGCCCTATTTTCAGTGAAACACGGTGTGTATATATATATATATATATATATATATATATATATATATATATAAAGAGAGAGATAGAGAGATATCTTTTACAAATGTGTCCAATTACTGTATTTTTTAAAAAAATAATGTATTAAGCTTATCAAGATATAAAATGCAAAGGAAAATGAAAATAATGGGAAAAGGAGAAGGAAAAGAAGTGTAGGGTAAAGACGGGGGAAAGAAAGAAAAACATTAATTTCTGATTCTTTTTAGTGCAGTAGAATAACATAATAACATTACAGTAACTTTTCACTTTTGCATACTTACTATGTACTAGCCATTTCTATAAAAACAAACTTATCTAATCAGCAAAAGTTAAAGTTTGATTTTTTTCCATCTCAAGCACAAAATACAGAGGTGGCTTCCAAGTAGAAACAAGTTGAATGTGTTCTTTGACTAAAGCAGTTAATTTAGCCATCTCCATCAGTTCTATCAGTTTTTCCAGCCATTCATCCACTGTAGAATATAAAGTATTTTTCCATTTTTGTGCATAAAACATTCTTGCTGCTGTCAACATAAATAACAGCAAAGTTTAAGATTTTTTTTTTCAATTTCTTTCAGGATAAATTGAATGAAGAGATAGTGACTGGCTCAAAGTCACTTAGCAAGCTTTTACCACATAGTGAGCTACAGCTGAAAGGTGAACTTCAACCAAGATTCATCCATACAGAGGCTCATCCACATATTCCTGGTCAATGTATTTTCTTTCCAATTTTGAGTTTGAAAGCACATCATTGTAAAAGGCACAGCCCTCACAGCCACCTTCTTCCTTTGCTCCAGGAAGGAGGCTGCTAGATTAGCTGAGCCCACTAAAGATGGCAGTGAGCTGCTTGAATGCACTGTTGGTGAAAAAATATGGTGAAGTCAGACTCCACAGCTGATAAATTTTACTGCGTTCTCACTCAGATCAAGCTAGAAAGCAGGAGACTGTGAGTTCCAGTCCTGCCTTAGTCATGCATGCCAGCTGGGCGATCTTGGACCAGTCACTCTCTCTCAGTCCAACTTACCCTCCAGGGTTGTTGTGGGGAAAATAGGAGGAGGAAGAATGTGTTGGATATGTTTGCCACCTTGAGTTATTTGAATAAATGTGAAATAGAAATAAACAAACATGATGAAAATAATAAATACTTGGTGGCTTTCTTATAGCAATCAGATGGAAACTCAAATCTAGTACATGGGAGTAGGGGGTTACATTTCTCATTTCAAAGACACTTTGCCAGTGAGCCCAACTTCTCTCTTAGCAGATAACTCTTGAAATTTTGTAAAAGAAGAGACATTTCCTGTCCCTTTAGTTCCTCTCTCTGATTTTAAACATTGCTATCATATCTGTCAGAATATTCATGAACTGGCAGAGACTTAGTAACAAGGTCAGGCAATGAATAGGCATAGCAACTAAATCAGCCAATTAGGAGATGAGACAGACTGGAGCCAGGCCGTGTCTCAGTCTGCAGCTTCTGAGTCTGTGCAGAGAATTGAAACTGAAACTAAGCAGTCTGTGCATGCTCTCTGCTCTGCTGAAATGAAATTAACTTTCATTCTTACCTTGTGTTTTGCTTGTAACTGCTACTAAATTGAAGAAGAATCTATATTAGTATTGTATTCTTACCTTCATGTATTATTATATATATAAAGAAGTTAATGGATCCTGCTGCATCAGTCCGCCTGTGTGTGCTTTTTGGATTTAATTTCTGCAACAAACTCTGACAATACCCAAAGGCAACTATTAATATCCAGGCATTGCTTATTTTAATTGTCTTTTTATGCAATATTCTTTTCTTGAAATCTCTTAGCTTCAACTGTTTTTATTTTTACAGTGGCTTTGGTTTTCAGTGTTGTATTAATATTTTTGTCCTTTATATTGTTCCATAATTTTATGAAAGGGATTGGTGAAACTTGGTTAGGATAACTTCCAAATGCAATAAAAATTTTCAACTGGCCTACCAAGTGCCATGCAACAAAAGTATGATTTCAGCATAGTTCAGAATTTAATAGAAATTGTATGTTCATGATATTCATAGATTGGCATGAGACTGTACAAAAACTTTATTCCCAATGCAGTCAGCTAAAAATGTCTGTGGAGATTCTCTGTCATCCAAATCATGGTTGTCCCCAAAGTGCTTTTTTCATAAGCAACTGGACTCTGTTTTTCCTTGAAGACATTTCGCTTCAAAGTTTGAAAAAAGCACTTTGGGGACAATCAGTTAAAAAGATATCAGTAGTTCTCTTTACTAAAATTGGCTTAGATACTAAGCTTCTGAGTAGAAGAAATAGAGATAGCATGAAATTGCCAGCTCCATTGTTTACCACATAAATGGGTGACAGCTTTGGAACAGTCTGTAAAATTATTGGTGGGATTATCATGGGAAAATGGTTCATATTTATCACAATTGTGTTCCAATCATCTGCTGCCTTCTTTAAGTGATTTCCAAGTACTTCTCCAACTTTGCATTGCTTCAGTGACCTCTTAGCGCCTCTATAAAACTGATAATTTGATTCCTAGGGAACAATAATATTAACATAAACACTAACATATACTACAAATATGACACTATCATTCGGCATTGATTCTTGCCTGTGTGTCTCAGAAATCTTCCATGTTATCCAAATGCCTTATTTTATTGAAACTGCCCTGAGTTTTAGAGAAGCCTTTTCAGGGATAGGGAGTTGAATTTAAGATAATTTGATAGCTCGCAGTGTGTGTGTGTGTCTGCCTGCCTACTACCTACCTAAATAAGCCCAGCATTGGTTTCAGAATTGTGATGGTCAGAATAGTTTGGGAGGGGATACAGCAATAAAAACATTCCAATCAGTGTAATGAATTCCGATGGCAATCAAGGAATAGCATAAAGAAAAGCCAAATGCTTTATGCTGATTTAGAATTTTATGTATGTCTCTGCTGTCATCTGGTGGTCATCCTGTTTTTTTAATAGCCCGTATATGGTCTATTATAAGGCAAAATGGAAATAAAAAAGTAGAACTATAGTATTACAGCAGTTATCTACAAAACAAGAAATCTTGTTTTGTAGATAACTTTGTTAGGAATAGTTTATATATTAGTTCAAACAAAGTAAGTTATTGTGGTTTTGCATCAGTTTATAGAACTTATATCAGTTTATATAAACAAATGCTGATCTAAGTTGATTTTTAGCTTTGCTCTGGAGTACTACAGAAAATGAAATGGAAGTTTCTGAAGCCCACAACAGTGCTTGAAACATTTGTTTAATTGAGATGCAAGAGAAAATATTAAAGGGAATTCTCCCCTTAAGCCAGGAAAATATCATTGTTAGACCCTATAGGCATGTGCTGAAGCCTTGGTGACTATCAAAAAATACATATGCTTGGCTCCATAACAGCTTAGAGTGCAACTTGTGGAGTTCATTTCATATTCATATTAATAAAATGATTTAAAATGGTTCCTGGATTGTTCTTATGCAGAATTCTGAATCTTCCAAGTCATGAATTTCATAATGTGGATATAAAATTTGAACGAATGAAAGCAAATATACATGTCCCAGGATAATGTTGCAGGATCCAATCTGGGTGGTCAGCAGGACCAGAGGTTTAGTCTTCCGAGCTTTTGGATTCATGCTGGAGCCCATCACTTTAGGGAACTTCTCCCTTAGCAGAATGTGTTAATGTATTCTGTTAAGAGAGAAGTTCCTTGAGGATGGGCTGCAGCACAAGTCCAAAAGCTCAGAAGACTAAACCTCTGGTCCTGCTGACCGACCCAGATTGGATCCTGCAATAAAATCTGCAACCCATCACGGATTCAGATCTGAATAGCCTCCCTCTATATCTCAGTATTTTGTTTTTCAGTGGAACAAACTTATATACTTAAAATGCTCCTAATCTGATTTTCAAATAAAAGCTTACATTTATCCCTACTAAATTAATATTGCTCAAGAATGAAAGTGAAATAACAGAAATAGGAGAAAATAGCTATACAATTTGTTTAATCCTTTTTTGAATAAATTGCAAATATCCGGCAGTAAATATCCTAAAGAAGCAAGTAAGTACACAGAGCAGTATTCTTTTGCTTTGTATTTTCCCCCTCTTTTTATCTCTAGTTGACCCATCTTTGGTTAATTCTGCACTGTTTCTATAGTGGAGACTTTAAGCACTCCTGCAACCTGCCCAGTACCACCATATAACCCTTTTGGAAAATTAAGCAGTGGATTTTCATGAGTGCATTAGAAGTTAAGGAATAAAAAGGGTAAACACAACTTTTATAGAAACACATTTTGGTGACAGTAGAACCAATATAACAGGGGGTATTCAGCAGGTTCTGACCAGTTCTGGAGAACCGGTAGTGGAAATTTTGAGTAGTTCGGAGAACCGGTAAATATCACCTCTGACTGGCCCTGCCCCTGTCTATTCTCTGCCTCTGGAGTCCCAGCTGATTGGGAAAAAATGGGGATTTTGCAGAAACCTTCCCCTGGAGTGGGGTGGGAATGGAGATTTTACAGTATCCTTCCCCTGGAGTAGGTAAGAATGGAGATTTTACAGTATCCTTTTCCTGCCATGCCCACAGAACCAGTAGTAAAAAATTTGAATCCCACCACTGCGATATAACTTTTTCAAATAGGATAATAAAAGGTGTAATGATGCCATTCACTATATGCCTGCAACAATGAGATAATAACATCCTAAGTACTGTGTAGCCTGAATTGTTATTTCGCACAATTGAGAGGCAGCCATTCTTCAGGCCTTTTCTATTCCATTCCAACCTTTTTTACACCACCTATTTTTTTCCAGTTCAAATTATGGAGAGGAAAGGAGATACGAAATGTGAAAAATGGGTCAGAGACTACATGTACCACTGCTGTCTTTTCCCTGCTTAAAAATCTCTATAGCAGCACTTTATGCCTCAGTAAAGATCGGAGACATTTGAGAAGGATAAGGGTGGAATGGAAGGAAGACATTTATGATAATGCTGGAATTTAAATCCACTAATCTGTTAAGGATTTGGTCTATTATGGATTACTTGCTGAAAATAGAATTTGATAAAATGTAGGCTAAAAGAAAGATAATGAGAAAAGTTAGTAAATAAGGAAGGCATCAATATCACAGTAAAAGATTTTTTTTCCCTAACAAGCAAAGACAAGGGTGAGAGTTGTTAAAATGTTATTTTAACAACAATAGGAGATCCACAGATTTCCTACACTGAATCAAGAGTACACACAAAGCCCAAAGAGACCAAGAGAACAGTATTTGTAATGAGCAAATCCTAAGAAAAGATTGTTCTAATATTGTATTCATAAAGATAAATAAGTCCAATATGAAATTTAGCAACATTACTTATAATACCTGGAGAGTCACCTGTTTCTTACTTCAAAGAGCATTTCACTATGTTATATTATTTTTAAATAGCATCTTTCTCACATAAGCTCTTGCACTCGGTGTCTTTTTACAACATTGAGATAGGTACCGATTTGCTTAAATGTTGTCATTTATATCGCACGTAATCCCAGAAAATGGCTTTAAGGTGGTGCTACACTTAAGCTTACACTCCTAAGTGGTTCCTAAGACACTGAATCAGATGCAATGCACAACCCTAGTGTTTACAGATAATTATAATAAATTGAATTTGAAATTTTTCTTAACATAATTAATGTAGAAAAGTGAGAACAAGTGCCTTGCCTGCTTGCTTTATCTGTTGTACAGGTGGTAGCTGTTGATACATAATTTAAATATCCCTGCTATTCTTATCTTTTCATTTTCAAATTGAAAGTGGAAAGACTTTTAAATAGAAGAGGCTTTCATGTGAACTTTTCCATATGGAAGTGAAAGATTCATGAACAAAGCAAGATAATCCCTCCCCATATCCTCACAGTACTATTGCCAAGTCCTAGCTTCCTCTTGCTTCAGCCATGCAATTTGGGGCCACTGGTATGACTGAATTAAGAGGAAGCAGAACCGTATACACACACACACGATCCTAGACTTACGACCACAATTGAGCCCCAAATTTCTGTTGCTAAGAGACATTTGTTAAGTGAGTTTTGCCCCATTTTACGACCTTTCTTGCCACAGTTGTTAAGTGAACCACTGCAGTTGTTAAATTTGTAGAACAGTTGTTAAATGAATCTGGTTTCTCCATTGACTTTGCTTGTCAGAAGGTGAAAAATGGTGATCACAAGACCCTGGGACATCATAAAGATGAGTCAATGGCCAAGTACCTGAGTTTTGATCACGTGACCATGAGGATGTTGCAAAGGTGGTAGGTATGAAAAATGGTTATAAGTCACTTTTTTCAGTGCCTTTTTGACTTCAAACAATCACTAAATGAACTGTTATAAGTTGACTGTGTGTGTAATATACATATAGATACACATACACTCATAATAAGTTCATAACAAGCTCGCTTTATATATATATCAGACCATATATCTTATGAAAAACCATTGATTCATCAGAAAAAGAGGAGTAGGAAAAGTTTTACAAGGGACTTCCGCTTGGCTCCGGGAGCTTTGAAGACGCTCTTTTATGAGCGCCCGATCCCTGGTTCCGTAAAAGCCCCAGAACAGCCGAAAAACAGCTGTCTGGAGGCTTGGAACCCTCTCCCTGGGCAAAGGGGAGAGAGAAGAGCCGACAGGTGGAGGTAGAGCCCCCCAAGTGCCCTAGGAGAAATCCTGGGGTGCGAAGAGTGTG